GAAGGGGTGATGGAGGCGGCACGGTGGATGATGGTGATGATGGTAAGGCGGTGGTGGCCCATGGCCGCGCCCCTCCAGCCACGGCCCCTCCGGTCTCCCTCTTGGTTGCCCCAATGGTGTCTTGATGTGGACAACGGCTAGACATGGAGAGGAGATGATGAAACGTGTGTTTGAAAATCATTTAACATGTATTTATAAAATATTGGACATGTTTTTATAAAAAATGACAACATGTATTTAAAAAAATCTAAAAATAAGAAAAATATATAAAAATAACAAAGGCAAAATTGAAAAATGGAGAAAACCCAAAATAAAATAGATGACCCAGTCAATGAAGAAAATGGACAATAAAAGCTGATCAGACGCTTCCTAAAACCGCTAGCGACAGGAAATTCTTCCCCTCATGCCGCTAGAAAGTCGAGAGAGGTGAGTAAGCGAGATATTGTATTTGTGGCATGGACCAACTATACGTGTTCTAACCATGTATTAAAATTGTTAATCTTGTATCTAAAAAATGTTAATCAAGCATTTGAAAAATATAGAAAATGTTTATGGAACAAATGTTGTCCATTTATTAGAAAAGAAATTATTGAAAAATTGTAACCATGCATTATAAAAATGTATTATATATATATATACGAAAAAGGACAATGTGTGTGAAAAATAGACATAAAAAATTTAAGTTTTCAAAATAATATTTATTTGAAAAATATTTAAAGCCCACATAAATAATATTTCTAATGTATATGCTTTTTATTTTGTACTGTAATTACCATGTGTTTGACAAGAAAGAAAACTGATGAATATAATGAAAAAACAAAGAAACACTAAGAAAAGACGAATAAAAACAAAGAAAGAAACAAAGATAACCAACGTATAATAAAGAAAGGAAAAAAGGAAGTAAAACAGGAAGAAAACCAGTGAAAAAGAAAAGAAAAGAATATTTATGACGAAGGACAACAAAAACCAAAGAAAACGGTTAGAAAATGAACCGAAGAAAAAACGCAAAAGAAAACAAAAAGGAAACCAAAGAAAAGGAAAAGATAGTAAAATCGGACCTATGCAACCATTGTACTGGAAAGAAAAAACAATCCATAGAACGAGCAATCAACCGAGCGAAACAAACAGAGGAGAAAATGTGTTAATGGACCGGCCCATACATGCGGACTCTTCAGGGCAGACGAGAGATATACTCGTTGTAGGCGAGATATAGCTCTGGCGGTTCTACTAGCACTTGATGGATCTATATGCATGTGCTATGGCATTTTTGTACTGATCTCAATAATATTCAATGCAAAAACACAATGTTTTTGTAATGAAAAAAGAACAACAATATTTCCCTTGATAATAAAGTAATGCCATGGTAAAAACTGCATAATATTTTCCATGACCCATTTAATCTAAATTGCCATGGTTCGTAAAAATAAATTTGTGATGGTATAGGAAAAAATTGCTTTGTAGTACGGCAGAATCTACACGTGCTATGACATTTTTGTAATCAAGCCAATACTCGTGGGAATACAACATGAATTTTCTGATGAAACGAACAAAATTTGCCATGTTCAAAAAAATAAATCAGAATTGCCATGGTCTCAAAAATGCGAAAAAATGCCATGATCCATTAAAATCCATATTTGCCACTCTGTGTTATCTAAATTTCTAATGTTGTGTGTACTAAATAAGCCATGGTCTATAGAATAAATGCATGGTAGATTATGAAATGGTGGCAAATTTTAGGGATTAGCTCATACTTGGCAAAA